GGAGAACGGGCGAAAATCCGTGCGCGCGCAGGATGTCATCCATAAAATTAAAAAAGTGTGGCCTAACCTACAGTAAAATCTTAGTCTCTTCTGTCATGATAAGATGTAGCATCAGAGCTTTTTTTTTTTTTTTACTATAAATCCTCTAAGTCACAATATTTTATGACATAAAAAAGTTTGTTTCATTATTAATCTTCAGCTCTTGATAAGTGCATTAAGATGAAGTAATTTTTTATTTTTGCTAGATGAGATATTGGTCTTTATGAAATATGTGCAATACTTAGGACATTTGCAGTCTCTAACTTGGCCGTCTTTTTATTCCATGACAATTCATTACTGTCTCTATTGATCTCACTTTACATCGATCTTGTAATTTAGTTTTGTGGGAATTAGATTTAGTGTAGATAATGAAGTGCATTGCTAGGAAAATAAGGAGCGTCCCAGACTAGAATTCACTAAGGGATATTTAATGCAGTAAATCAATGGAGGTTTAGTTTTGCATGACAAGTTTCCCAGAGGTATATGATATAAATCCCGATAATAAACTGGGTTTATTTGTTGGTTTCTTATTGATTCCTTATGAACTTGAAATTCCCAATAGAAAAAAGCATCCTAACTATGATACAGCATGTGGAGAAATTCTTGTTAGGATCAGCCTCAAAGGACAAGCATCTTATCCTAACATGATATATGAATATTGCTCTGCCTGCATGTCATAGTAATACATTCATAAATAAATTTTAATGCCTTTAAATTTTTAATTATTATAAACTGCAGAATATTAATATAACTGCATATACATACAAGTAAAAACAGCATTTTGATAGCAATCACACATAGAATGGGTGACATTTTGCAATGGATGTTTACAGTAAACAACTTCTCAATATTGGTTCCACATATGAAGGCCAGGTATGGAAACCCCCTGTAGACAGAAATCAGTCTTTGTCTACTGCAGGTGTACCTCTTATGTAATCTGTTGTCTCACTGCATAGAAAGTTTCCCTGACTTCTTAACACTTTGGCAATCTTAACCTGATTTAGGTACAGGCTATTTCACAACAGTAATTGTTCTTCTATAGACATTAAAGGTGTTACCTATCCATGGCATTTTAATTTGCAAAGCTTACAGAGGTATAAAAAAGAGCAGTCTTAAACATTGTCAAGCTTGATATATACACTGTACATAAATAAATGACACTGGCACCAAACAGTTATGGCCCAAAGTCACATACACCATCTGCCAAGTAGTAGTTTCCAGTTTGTGATGACCTTACAAGCAATTGTATATATATGAATGTTTTAACAAGATCAAATTATGCATGATGACAAAATTATAGCTAAGATTTTAAGGGCATGTCTTTACTTCTTGGCTGACTGAGATTGTCTAGCCTTAATGCTAATTATCTATTTGAGTATAATTTATGGTGGCATTAAAATACTGATGTGATAGGCAACGTCTAGAGAGGAATTATAAATGTGAAGGAAATTTAGGCTTCGTTCACATGCAATGTCTATTTTCTATTTTCTATTTTCTATTTTCGGTATGTCTTATGATCACGGTCTGTGCACTGAATATCCCGCAGCGTAATTACTGGCAGCGCGAGCCAGTTACTATAAGTTACTATAAGTAACTGGCTCGCGCTGCCAGTAATTACGCGGCGGGATATTCAGTGCACAGAGCGTGATCATAAGACATACCGAAAATAGAAAATAGAAAATAGACATTGCATGTGAACGAAGCCTTAAACGATGGTCTAGAGCCTCTCAATGCATTTTATTCCACATTCTACATGCCAAAAGGAGAAGAAATCAGTTTAGTCATGCACTTAAAAAATAAGGAGAGATGTATGTGGCATTGGAATAGTTTTACCACTTATGTCTGTAAAATAGTTAATACTTTTGTATAAATGTGAATCCTTCGGTATACAGGCTGTCCCAATTTTAAGAAAATAAAGATAGTTCTATTTTGAATAAATGAAATATAATCAACTTAATACTAAATATCTGACAAATATGGAGGTGAATGCTGGGGTCCCTTGACTGTTTTCTTTATACAACTGTATATATGGAACAAAATGCTAATGCTCAGGTCTTTTCAATGATATGGTAACTGCATGCTGTTGGTGAATTGCAACAGCAAATCATTGATTTCATTTGGTGGATTTATGACTTGAACTGTGATTTCATAGTCTCATTGGGTAAATACTTACTGTGAGTACTGCATTACTGACTGCAAAAATTTTGTGAGGTTTTCATCAGCTTTTTGTAGATTCAAAGTCATAAAAGAGTAACCCTTTCCTCTATTTCTATTAATAAAGAGAGAGATAAGCATCTTGGTATCAGACCTTATAATATCAACAAATTTGAGGGGGAAATGATATCAGCAACCATGCTCACTCAGTGCATGGACAATTTGGAAAATGCATGTTAGCCCAGAGTTAGACTGCGTTCCCGCAGATTTTTAGATTGATCTATCCCTGTGGGGAGTCTCACTATATTGCTATCAGCTTAGCCAGCTGAAATGTCTGTCTTGCCTACTAAAAGCTGTAAGGGGGTAATTAACTTTTGTGCTCGCTCAGCTGACAGCAATTTAGCGTGAATCCTCAGGGAGTTAGTTCGATCCAGATGGATCAATCTAAATCTGTGGGAATGCAGTCTTAAGTAGTTTGTGATACTCAACTTACAAATATTAATGTTCTGTGGATTAACAATATCATCAACATAAGATTGAAGATATGAACAAAAAGCTTCAAAATGAATCAAACTAATGTACTCTGTAATTTATAATTTTATTGTACAAAATTTCCACTGCATAATTTTATGAAAGTCTAATGACTATAGCTTCAGTCTCCTGTACTCATGGGGCTAATGGGTAGGTGAGGGGACTTGCAGCTGTTAACACAATTTATACAATCATTAATTCAGCAATCAAAATCACTAATCCATGGCTCCAAGTTACATTGTACAAATGTCAGTTTTGTTCGTAAGGCCAGTTATCTACACAAGTTTATTACTTGGGCAAATTTTCTTAATTGTTACATCACTGAGAGATCCATATTATTTACGCTGTAAAAAGAACATGAAGGGAAAGGGGATATTTTTTTCTCTTGCTTGGCTGAGCAAGGCTGTATGCAAAAACATCTAGAGAAGTCCAATAAGTGCAATGCATTGTTGCCCCTAATTACACCTGCCTTTGTCTACCTCTCTTAGATCTTCACTTTTCATTAAATTAATTGCTGTGCAGCATCTAATCTTAAGATTTCCAAATTCGAAATTACTGAATTCTCTCAGAGAGTCACAGCTTTGTACTGGTATATTCAGTATACGGTATATGAGTGTATAGAAAAAATACAGGAATTATGCATGACCTGAATTACTCTTACCTGGTGGGTATGGTGCTATTTATATTGCAGAAAGGTTACAACTTGCATAATGTGACCTGGCTAAAAACCTATTTTATAAGGTGTTTTTGAATTATAACACAGCAACAAAGCATTTAGTCATAACGGTCACCTCACATAAGCAGATTATGGGGGCACTTACATGAAAGGCTGATGTTTTTAATCAGTATGAGACAAACAATTTTTGTCAGATGGGGATAGTTTGTTAATTTGCTTTAAGGTAAATTACCAAACAAGTTCTTTTTAAATCTTTGGTGAATGCAGAATGCTTACAGAGAATTGTTTAGATGGTATATGGCTTGACATATTTACTTGTACATGTCCCCCCCCCCCCCCTATACCAGCCTCTTTACCCTGTGTGCCCATTTTCTGAACTGATCAGTAGGTTATACAATTTGATGATAAATATTGCACTGATTTGATGTGACCTTCCAGTGTTAGGACTGGGAAGAGTTATTGCATAAATCATTACGGTATTACATGCAGTACTATAGTTAAAATCTGCAGAAATGAGATACATTTGATACCTTTAATTATTTTCACTTACTTAATAGACAAGTTGGGCCAGCAGATGACCACCATGCAGTTGCCAATATAAAATACATTGTTATTGCTTTGATATCAGTCATAAGTTAAAGAAATACATAATAAGTAAGGGAATGGTATATTTATCAAGCTCTTTTATACATTTCAGGTGGCATTACAGGTGGTATTGAAATCTGCATTACTTTCCCCACAGAATATGTCAAAACACAGTTACAGTTGGATGAAAAGATGGGAGCCGTCAAACGGTTCCACGGTCCCATCCACTGTGTTACATCCACTGTGAAAGACCATGGAGTACGAGGACTGTATAGAGGACTCAGTGTGCTAGTTTATGGATCTATACCCAAGTCTGGTGTTAGGTAATTATATGCACTCCGCAATTATAAAGTGGACATCATTACAAGTAGACATACCTGCAGTACATCAAAACCTTTGTTTGGGGATGGAGTCTACTAAAAATAACTAATATCTGTATACAGGGTCATAGGTTATGTGTATAGCAAACTCCATATCTATCCAGGGGCACTGTACAGTGGTTTAACAGTAATGCTTGGATGATGCAAAGTCTTGATTGCACAAGCAAATTAAATTTATTTCTGAGTTAATGAAATTTGAGGACTGTCTTCTGTCTTCAGTATTTTTAAATACAAATAATTAAAGAAATAAAACAATTAAACCATTTATGAATACCATGCTCCCTTTGTCTTTCAATCTTTGTGGAGTTTGTGACACATACTTATCTCTTCATACAAAATAGTTTCACTGCCTCATTAAGATAGCTTTACTAGTCACTTTCTCTGTAGAACATCTATTCATGTTGTGTCCTTTGTACATGAAGAACGTGAGGCAGACTTTCAGCTGCCGACAGTTTAGTTTCAATGCCTCATTAAGGTATCTTTACTAGTCACTTTCTCTGTGGAACATTATCATGTTGTGTCCTCTGTACATGAAGAACGTGAGGCAGACTTTCAGCTGCAGACAGTTCAGTATTAATGTTACATTTGACATATATAGCAATATTATGCATGCCATACCTGAGAGACAAGAGTGACTGTTCATAGACAACTGAGGCATTCAACAGGATATTAAAGAAAGTGCATTGTTACAGCATTTAATTTCCAGTCATGGATTGGCCTGTTATTTATGATAACATCCTTGGAAAATATAGAACTAAATCCTCACTGCAATACTAGTATCTGCTATCCACTGTCAGCTATATTTATGATCTGAATTTTATTTTATTTTAAAATCAAAACATATCTTCACATTCAAAAAGAAAAGAAAAACAAAGGCTGAAAACCAAAATCACCAAATACTGTTAATATTTAGTGATCAGAAGAATTGTTTATATTTTTTCTTCAATCTATAAATCCAGGTTAATCCGTGAAATGTAATTTCTCAAGCAATGAATCACAAGGGAATCCAATTCAAGAAAGTTGATAGAGTCTAGAGAGCTATTTGAATCGATTTTGCAATGTTGGTGATAATGGTTATGTCTTGTGTGAAAGTTTAGAGATATGTGCCCTACTTGTTTCACACAGACTGGAGTTCTAATTATGGTTACTTCACCAATACCTTTCTCTCTCTCTCTCTCTCTCTCTCTCTCACACACACACACACACACACATTTACACACACCTTATATATTTCAAATTGTCTGCAAAAGGGCCCTGTACGTCTTGCTGCCAAATAAAAAGTAAACTGTTTTATTTTGATTGCAGGTTTGGTGCATTTGAATACTTTAAATCCAAAGTTATCAATGAAAGTGGGATATTAACCCCAGGACAGAGGTTGCTTTGTGGTTTGGGTAAGTATAAATTATTTTAAAATGAAGAGCAAGCTCGACATTTTATACACTGCTGTAACACAGTCAGTAAAATGGCTAAGTAATGAATACCTTTGTTGCCTCTTACATCTATTAGTGATCATACAGAATTGCATTGTTACTAATAAATCACTGTAGTGTGTATGCTTTAAGCCCTATAGCTTTGTCATAGGACAACAGCTGTAGATACAGTGACCACATCTGTGTATGGACACCTGTTAGCCGTATCACACCCTACATTGCCAACATGCTGTTTAAATAATTGACCAATATTATAAGTATTAAACAGCAGCATATACAGTACTGTATGTGTAGTTTTGCATGTATGCTTATGTATCACAGAGGTATGTAGATTAGTGTGTTTGGTCTAGATATATGTGCATAACTACTGAGTCTTTTGTGTTAGTGAATACCTTAGAATAGAGGCCCTTTTTGGCTTCTGCAAAATGTTCGACGCGGTGATTTTTGTTTACACTGTAACCTTGTACATATTTAGTCCAAAGCTCATAATCCTATTACCATTAGCACCATGTTCAATTAAACAGGATAGAATAGTTACAGATTACTAGCAGATTTAATTGACTATGTAAAGTAAAATTTTCAGATTTCAGGCTCTGATCTACACACACACACATACACACACACACACACACACACACACACACAATGGTATTACTTACTTTGAATAAATATGTTTTCCCGAATAACTCAGTTAGAATTGAAACGTAGCAAAGTACTTAGAATTATTTAAAAAATCTTTTGATAATGCAATTCTGCATGGTGATTACAGGCAGTAACCCATTTTCTTCACCTATCAAAATTTGGGACAAAGAACAATTTTTGTATTTCTTTGTGTGCTGTAAATGATCCCTGAGATGACTAAAAAACATGACAATGCTATTCTGAGAGCTTTCTTCTTCGTAATGTACAGCTGTAAAACAGACTGTTATGTCAGATTTAAGCCCTGTTTGAGTGTCAATTTTGCCTAAGAATTAAAAAGTTTAGAATAGCAGCAATGTTTGGAATCACAATTGTTGGTTAAAATAAGTGAAATTTATCCCCTTTCACATGAAAGCACCACCTTTGTAATCCAGCATGTAGGAATATTTTGACAGACTTTCAAAGATGATAGCCCATTATTGTTACTCAGAACTGTGGATGTGCACATAAATAAGCACACTTCTTTTCGGTGTTTTCTTCTTGTGTCAGGCACCTTTTAGGTTGCTGAGAACAGTTTTTCAGCAAGCATTTCATAGAATAGCTGAAAAATTATTTAAAGTACTTAAATCAGTGTCTGAATAGGACATAACTGTGTATTGTGGAGAAAACGTAAGATGTCGTTTTTAAAGCACATTTACCACAATGCACATCTGCTGCATTTTGAATAATAATTTCTTTCTGAGTTATAAGAACAGAGAGAAGAGAAATAAAAAAAATGCAATATTTTAATAGAAGCATTAATTTTAACTTTTTGTTTGGTAGTTTATTTTAAAAACTTATGTTGATAAAACTCTTTCTTTTTAAGGGGCTGGTGTGTGTGAAGCTATATTTGCTGTCACTCCTATGGAAACCATCAAAGTGAAGTTCATACATGACCAGACATCACCAAATCCAAAATACAGGGGCTTTTTTCATGGGGTATCAGAAATTGTGAAAACATCTGGTAATTGAAATTATAACCTTTTTTTGTGTGTATGTTATAGGGACTAGTAAGATATATATTGTGTTTTTTAATTTTGGTTTTTGTATTTGTGAACATTATTTCAGAAGAATACAAATAAATTCAAATAAAACCATTTAGTACTAGTACATGAAAAATATTGCATTGTATCTGCATTTTAGATGGTTATAATAATGAAATTCCCACTTCTTAGTAATTCTCTCAAAATAGTGACAAAAGATAACGGTTGGTTCATTTTGCAAATAGGCCTAAATGACTTTGAAATTTGATTTTATACATTTTTTTCCTGCAGAATAAAATCAAGACAAATAAGTTGTCACTTATGTAAAGCAGTCATGAACTGTACTATATATTTTAGGAATAAAAGGAACTTACCAAGGTGTAACTGCCACAATGATGAAACAAGGCTCCAACCAAGCAATAAGATTTTATGTGATGGAGACATTAAAAGATTGGTATAGAAAGAGAACTGGGAAGGGACCCAAAGATCCAGTGCCAAAATTACTAACAGGTCTCATGGGTGGCATTGCTGGTGCAGCTTCAGTATTTGGTAACACACCTTTAGATGTGGTGAAAACAAGAATGCAGGTATGCATAGCTCTAAATGGCAGTGCAAGCTTGTTTGTTTAACTCTGATGCCTTATTTTCTATTCTGAAACTACACATTGATTTTTGCAGTTCATTAATTGCTCATTTCAAAGCCTACTTTTAAAATTATTTTCCCTTGAACTTGCATTTTACCATACACCTTTTTCTTTTAGGGTTTGGAGGCTGCTAAATACAAAAATACATTAGACTGTGCTGTGCAGATATTTAAGCATGAAGGACCTAGAGCGTAAGTAAAATAAGTTAAAGATTAAGCCTCTTCATCACTCTGTACCATTAAACTGAATTATTGGAATATGTCTGTGAAATATATAGAATACATTTTGATATTAATTTTGTTTCATTTTTAAATTAAATTTAACATTTTTATATTTTTGCTCTTTCTGTTTATGACTGGGTTCCCATACTTAGATCGATCCATCTTACGTCGATTGCAATTTAGTGAGACTCCCCAGGGAGATAGATCAATTCAAATATCTGTAGGAATGGTCCCTATGTCTAAATTGTGATGGAGTTTTTGGAAAAGCATGTTAATCTTTATTTTTGATGTTACATAGATCATCTAGATAAAGTTTGATGAAAACTTCAAAAGGAAATTTAAATAAGAGGTACATGATCTCTTTACAGGTTTTACAAAGGCACAGTACCCAGATTAAGCAGGGTATGTCTTGATGTGGCCATTACCTTTATGCTCTACGACACTATACAAGAGTTTTTCAACACCTTCTGGAAAACAGATTAAAAGACTATCATGGAATAACGTTTCAATATGTTATCCATGTAGAATATAGATACAATTCTTGTTACTAAGATGAAGAGGGGCAATATTTTCCTAAATGTGATTTTAGACAACATTGTAGCAGTTGCTTCTGAGCTCTGTGCATTGAAGATAATGAGAAAAATTGGCTTGTTGATTCCAATTATGATGATGATTTATGTTCTCATTATACTAGCCTCATACAGTTGACCTTTATTTGCAGATTGTTAATGATTAACATTATTAGTTGTATGATTTAGCATTTTAAACTCAAGTCATAGAGTAATTTTAAAGTATTAAAAGATAAAAAAGAGCACTGCCATGCGTGATAAAAGTATATTCTGTTTGGAAATACAAAGCTCATTTATTTTAGAAAAAAAAAACAAAGTTATTGGTGGTGGAGACTTTTTAAAGCATGTGTTAAAGGCAACAGGGATGACACAAAGAAAGACTCAAAAACTGTTGTATATCACACTGATGGTGGTTTACAACCTGTTCTTGGTGCAAGCTTGGTGATGGGTCACATTTACCTGACATTTGTCTTACTCACAAATACTGTTGTTTTAAAGTAGGTTAGGTTACAGGGTTTATTTTCTGTAGGTTATTTTATTTCTATTCATAAGTATTCCATTGTGAAGAAACTTCATTACACTTTGAATATAAATGTATATTCTGTTTTACATATTTTAAAGAAATGACACAAATATTGTCTAAATCTGTTGCTTGATTTAGGAAACATGGTAGGAACTTGAGTACAGATCAGTGGTACACATTTGAAATTATGAAAATTTAGGCATTAGGTTCAATGACATTTTGTTTGCTTGCAAAAGAGCATGTAAAAGAAGGCATTCCATTTATAGTTAGAGGAGTTTAAAATAAAGTATAACTGTTCCTCCTCATTAGCATTTATCAAGAGAAAAACACCACAAGTAACTTCAAAAGTTACCAGTGCAAGTGTGATAGTCACAAAGAATGCTTTATTCAAGTTTATGTGAATCAAATTTAAAGACACATTACCTCCATCCATAACCATGGTTTTACTTTATTGCTGTAGAATAATGCAGTGGTATTGAGTTTTAAGTTTTTGAATTTATTAAAAAAAGAATGTAAGTCAGTTTTTACTACAATTCATGCTGTTTGTTTTTTCCCCTTAACGGTGGAACATTTCTGTCATTGCAAAATAAATTATGTTCTTATGAACAAATGAATGCAGTTTGTGCAAAACCTTGTTTTTTTTTTACGTAGCTCTAGAGTACAATTTGTTGAAAACCAAAATGAGAGCAAGAACAGCACTTCAGTTTTGACTATCTCACACATACTTTATTTCTTAACAATAGGCAAATTAAAAGAGGTAACATGGAATAACTTAATAAAGAACACTGCAATAACTGAAAATGGAAGACGTAAGCAAAAGGGAAAGTTACTCAATAACTTTAGTTACTTGATGTAACAGATCTTCAGATCGTGGACCAAATTGAAAATAAAAAGAAAATACTGGTATAACTAATAAAATGAAGCATTGAATTAATGGAAAGAAAAAAAAACATTCAACCAATTGTACGGTACATCCACCCTTAAAATACTAATTGCAAGTAGAGGCTTTTACATGGACCTTTTTCAAAACAATGCACAAATGATTCCATTGCCTATAAAGACTTGGCAATCAGTGTTAATTATAATATATTGTACAGTCTGAATGTGCCTTCCAAGACAGCTGGAATGTGAGTGACATGTAGTTCAAGCTGCACTAGTCCCCAAAACTGAATATATGGAAATAGCATGCACAATGTTAATTAGGAAATCCAATTAATTTTTGTTACTCTGCTCAGATATGGAAGTAATTGGCATGGTTTCATATAAATTAAGCATCTAAGCCATTAATTGCAAAATGACATATAGACAAATGAATAAAAGATGCTTATCCATATCTTGAATGTTTTAAGACAAGCATGTGTAAAACAAGCTTAACGATGACCAAATGTAAAAGGTACCTTACATTTTCTACTGGTTTTATCATTATCTCAGCAAGTTTTTCAGCATTCTTCATATCGAATGTCTTTGAAATGAAGTACACCAGCCCTTTTAATCTGACAAAAATGTATAGACAATGTATCATTTCAAAAATATTTTATCAAGGAAATGTCTCTGTACTTCTAAGGTTATATCAAGAAAAGGAATAAATACAGAATGCACGAAACCTGTTGTGCTATATTCAAGTGGAGAGATTGATAAGAATAATATCAATTTCCATCAAAAATAAAAAGATTACATCAATATCTTCAAAAGCTCCATTATCAACTAATATACTATATATAAAATATTTTGTATAATACATAAAAATACTTGGAAATAGAAATAAAAAATCCAACTAAACAAAGAAACAAAAGAAAATATCCTTCAAGTCACTGTTGCTGCACCTGCAATAACTGTCTATAAACAATCTGTTTCCAGTAAATAGTGACCTAATAATTTAAAACATACACTACTCTACTGCATTGTGATGGTGTCTCATAAGAATGAGACTCGGAGTATAGAATGGAGTACATAATATTGAATGCTTTGTCTAAAAATTTCCAGAACATATCCTGTGCTCTCAGGGAATATTTAAGCATTCAATGTGGAATTATCAATGATGGGGAATAACCAGAGACAGTCCAAAGTCTCACAACCTAGCATAACATGAGATTTTCAGAGATTTGGTGTAGAATGGAGTAAGAAACATCACGATGTTGTTCTCGGTTGTTCTCTTAGATCTGGAATAATTACATTCTTTTGCAGAACAGTTCATATTCTTTTGAGCCGCTTTCTAGAAGGTGATCTATGTCATATAGCACATAGGCAATGTCAAATGATTTCCTTTCTAAGTAGTGTCTGGATCATTCATTACACCAGAAAATGAAATACTGTACTGACTCAATAATTTCAAAAATACTCAAACATGACATTTTCTATTACACTGTTTTGAAAGAGCTACATGTAAAAGATAATTTGATTTTTTTTTTTTTTTGTTAAGTTTATCAAAAATTTTGTTTTTGTGTCACTAAAATGATGAATTTTGAAAAAATGATTTATTGCACTAGATAAAGAGTTTGAAAGTTGCAAATAATAATGAATGAGACACTGTACAATTATAGTAGCCCATCAATATTATATCTGCCTTTCCTGCTACCACGTTAATACAATACAGAGCTGAAGCACATCACCAATCATGTTATCAGTAGCAAAATTAATCACCAAGATAATTTACTGTATTGCTGCTAAGCTACATATAAACAGTTTTCACATGAAATGTTCTCATAAAATGTAGCAGAGGGGAAGTAAGAAATACATCACAAACTGTATGGCTTACCAACATGTATGTATGTGAAATATTGTAAAATATTTATAACAGAGCCAAATGGATATTAATAACCTGCAGAGCATTATTTGCAATGCACCTTTAAAGCCAAGCTGATTTAGAAGATTTAAAGGATTGTGCAGAAGTGAAAAATAATTCATCAAAAACAGAGATACAACATAAATTTTACGAGATAACATATTACAAATAACATTACATATATAAATATAAGATAACAGTTCAAAAGCGAACAAAATGCTCTTAGTCTAACAATACAAGAGATTCAAGGGCTGCCAGTTTTATTTTTTATCACTCAAGGGTATATATGGACCACTCACTTAGATGAACTTTTAACAACATTTACTTACTGACCACGTGTCAACATAAATGCCATACACACTGGCAAGACTGGATGTTTACATTTAGAACACATGCACACAAGTGGACAATCCACCACATTTGGCTGGTTATTTCACCTGTTGCATTAAATAAAAATGAGCAGAAAAAGGGTGTATCGGTCTGCAGAAGCTATAAAATCTCTATTGGCCAAAGGAGGGAATAAATAAAGGTTGGAGGGAAGCTCTAAGAATAAAATGGTGTTTAGGAAATTAAGAGATAACTTTTTAATGAAACAACAGTGCACATGCTTAACAGGCAGTAAGACTGATGAAAGGCAATTGCTGCCCTGACCAGTGAGAAGCAAGGAGAGTGGGATCGTTGGGCCTTGGGTTTTCTTGCCAGTGTGGATGGCACTAAAAACTGTTGTGTACATTGCTGCCACCTTAACACTGTGCACTTAAGCAAAGACGTTGTGAGAGATTTAATTAAATGTTTTAACCCAAAGAAATATTGAAGGCATTCTGATATTAAGAAAATCAGGATTTGTAACAATTGCCTTATCTCGCTGCACACTATTGATTAATCTGCCTCAATCTCCCTTGGGTTTCTCCTCTGTTTTGTGACCTTTTGACGTCTCATCACCTATGTAACCTAGATATTTGATAGTTTTATACTGATCTGGAATTTCCATTAATGCTTGCAGTGCAAAGGCTGCATCTGGAAACTTTGCTTTAGAGATAACTTGATGGTAATTTACAAATTGAAAATTGTCAAATTTTCTCCGGGGTATGTGATTGTCAAACTCATCCATGGCCTCCCAGGGTCCATCTCCAACACCCACCACTATTATACTAATGGGGTATTTCGATGCTTCCACTATAGCATCTATTGTCAGCTGCTCTTCAGTAACCTGGCCATCTGCTATAATGACTAGAATAAAGTACTTCTTAGAATGTTTTGCAATGTGGATGGCTTCATTAATAATGGGTGCAAAATTTGTTGGTCCACTAAGAGTCACCTTCCTGGCTACATTATTATAACATTGCAGAACATCTTCAAAACCTACACACGGCTGGTCATCTGCTCGTAAAGGAAAAATATTGTGATCCTGTGTTGCTGAATCACCAAACCCATACGCTGGAATCAACTTGTCATCTGAAAATGGTTCGAGAATCTGCCCTAAAATAGATATAACTTTCTGGTATGGATTGTTAATCTTGTTCCCCGACACTGTATGAAGATTACGTCCACGGAATGTTTTGCGTCCCTGCCATTCATTACTTGCAGTAAAATCAACTCCAATGATCAAACCACAGGTCTCTAGTCCTGCTCTCTTGATACTGTCAGTAACATCATCAAAATGAGAAAATTTATCTCTAAATGCCTCAAAATGTTTCAAATCCTCTTGACTTATTCCAAGCACTGCAAATAAACTTCTTTTCTGCTTTTTATCTACAGGTCTCCTTCTGTTCAGGCTCGCCTTGCCTCCCCTGGTGGACGGAGCAGCAGTATCAGGCTGTGGTTTATAGAACCAGTACAGCAGTATAAACATAAGTACAGCCACCACATACAGCAGTAGAGCCTGCATGCCTCCACTAGTAGATGGAACTACTGAGGACAACTGGACATCTGGCCTAAAACAATAGAATTTGTTGAATACTTATCACATCTCACTTATCACATTAAAAGCATTTGCTTACTGCTCTACCGAAATCTGTTTAAGTTTGCAGCAGACGTTCTCAGTTATGACATAATAAGGCTATAAATAAAGATGACAAGACAAAGGGCTGTGACTGTTGATGGAACTACTGTACACATGAAATCAATGGAAAAGATTTATATCATGTTCTGAAATTACAAAGATTGCATTAAAAATCATTTATGAACTTACAAATTGAACATGACAACAAAATGATTCATAAGACTGACAAAAATAGTAAATTGATTTCTAAGAATGTGCACTGCTGTTTTCAATTATGATCTATTAAAGCCACTACTAAATAGATCGCACATTGATTTTTTAAAAATTTATTTGATTATTCTTTATTCACAAGGGAAGCATTTGATCTGTGATAACAATTTAAGCTTAAATGTGTAGCAGCAACTGCTGCTGTGTATACTATGTGTGTATGTACAATTTGATGACATGAGATGGTTTTCTCGGCTAATAAACCCCATGGGCACACTCTATCATGAGGTACTGCTGGATGGTTGTTGGTCCTATCTAGAGAGATCATCTGCCCTTAGATGAATTTATTTTTCCTTTCACCAGGGTGTCCAGCAACCCTCCACACCTTCCTCCAGGGAAGAAGGTGGGGTTGACAGTTTAGTCACCGACAGCTAGATCTTAGAACAGGTTGTATTGGTTTACAGGGTACCAGTACCAGGTAGGATGACCTGACCTGACTATGGTTTCTGTGTTGAATTGATACTTCCATTGAACCCCAAGCTAGATCAATAACAGAGGCCAATTTACTATTTCATCAACACCGAGCCTCTACTCCATAACAACATCATGAAAACACAGGCTTTGCTAAATCATAAATTTCAATTTTCTAGGTTGAATACACCACTTACAGAAGGGTACAACTTTCAAATCTACTGTTAAACAAGCTGATAACTTACTGTTCAAGGTCTCCCATCTGGAGACAGGGTGAAGTATGGAAAAGGTGTGCAGCAGTTAGTGGTCGATTCCAACTGTGACAAGCTGTAAATAATCCAATATGTGCAGCATTAATGAGCAATGGCTTCAAGTCCTAGGCACAGAGCTCTGGGTAACTATCTGATAAATGCAAAATATATCAATGAGCAAACACTACTTAGACTGTTACCTTTAATGAATTCATTTAGTGCATGTATATATTATACCTTAGGCAATCAATACAGGATATTTGAAATTCAATAGCTTAGTCTCAACCACAAATGTAGGGGCCACATAAATATTTAATTTTTCCTCGTACTTACAACTTTTCCATAGGATATGACAGTTTTCAAAGTAATAAGCTTTCTCTCTATTTATGCAAGTAATGCAGACAGCCAAATTGATTTTCATAGATCCTTGGTAATTCATTATTCATAGCCACGTTGTTCAGGCATATCCCTTGATGGCAAATTCATTTATAACATACAGACCTTTTTGCTCAATTCTAGCAGCATTTTTTAAATCAATATCAATAATAATAATTATTATGAAAATAACCATTAAAATATCAATGCCCCTTACAAATTATTTAAAACTTTTTAAAACAATGACATGAAACAATAAAATGATAATAAAAAAGAAAGCACATGATATGCAAAGATAATTTGGTTGATGCATAAATCATGAACTAGGATCCATATAAAATCATAGATAATTCCAAATCTATAGATCAAATATATAATCACTTGAATCAACATACCTTAGTTTGGCTGTCCATTGGTATCAGGCGATTCTCTTTCTACATCCACACAAACTGTTACCTAGTTTACCAGTAGCTGACATGACCTTTGGAGATAAATAATTGTTAAAAGATCATATTTAAATGACTAATCAGGGGCAAATCCAGGATTATTTGAAGGGGGGTTCGGGGCCCCATGAAGGGCCCAAAAAATTTTGTTATTTTAGAGGATGCACGGTGCCATTTAGTACGGTTTAGAACTATGATTCAACTAAGTTTGATAGTTCAAAAATAGAGTAACCCAACCCCTTCATTTAAATACTGTGGTACAACAAACACAATGATGCAATCACTTAATTGGTTTAAATTGGCCCAATTATTGAGGAAGAATATACAATTCTTATTTACTGGTACTAGCAGATAGAAACAAATTCTGAAGCACATTGCCTCTTAAAGTTTTCTTGCTGTCTACTACCAAATCCTGCAAATCAAAGTTGCTCATGTTGACCTTCTCTTGTAATTACTCGGTACATGTATGACCCACTGGCACAACTAGGTTATTTGGATGTTTAAAAATGATATCACTGTGACATTTTGTTGGTGAGGCGGCGGGGGAGGGGATCCCACCACTAATATATATGCACTCACACATGCAAACATTTTCCTAGCCTAAGTGAGTAAGCCTCAATTCTTATATTATTTTACTCCAAATTCTGAAATCCCAAATTCTAGAGACAGATGCCCTGTCTACACAGTACACAGACCTTCGATCCGCACAATGTACTGGTTATGTGAATTTGGAACGTGCAATCTGAAATTCTTACACATATGTAGATGACATACTGTATGTACAATTTCCATATTATTGGGCATATGGCAGTACCTGTGTAAAGTGAGAGCACTCCATGGTCCCTAACCAGGCACATAGTCAAAATCTATTATAAATATATGAATGTACCAGCCAACACATGCAACGGAGTGCAAGTCTACAACTTTATTAAATTATAAATCATAAATTGTACTAGTCACAGGCAAGTAGATCTAAATTGAAATATCTTGATAAACAGGCATATTGCACATATGTGCCAAACAACGGAGGACTAAGACCTGTATCATACGCAACTGTCCTCAAAATCTTACCTCAGTAAGATAAAGGCGAATCGCAAATTTTGGCCCGTCAGTAGTTCACTCTCTTACTACTCGGGCCAAATCAATGATGTTCTTGTCACATCATTCGCATGCGCATATAAATACGCGCAGTGTATCCCATAATTCTTTAAACGAAACTACTGCATCAAACATGAAACTAGCACGGCAAAACAAACTTGCCACGGACTTGTACTTTCATTGTTGCGTACTTTGACAAGTTTGATGGGTCTTAGTTCGAAATAAGAAAATTGACATGCCATTTCATTAAACTGAGGCTCCCAAATTCTTAGTAACATAACTGGAGAAATATCGCAAATCATATCTTTTTATACGAGTGCTTAAAGACCCTAAAGCCCCCGACCCATACGACCACCTCTTATCTACTTAGCTGAGCACTAGCAGTCTGTTCAATGAGCTTGCTGATATTTTGATGAATGTGATCCACGTCATCTTCCACGTGGGTCATTTAAGAAAGTGAAAATGTGACGCACATATTTAATTAGGCCTTAATAATTGCATTAGATTAAACTGTTTTATATATATATATATATATATATATATATATATATATATATATATATATATATAAGGCCCGTAGCCGGGGGGAGGGGGGGGGGGTTCGGGGGGTTCGAAAGAACCGCCCCTTTTGCTGGGAAAAGGTCCATTCTGAGTAAAATTTGATCTAAGCACATGAGGGTTTTATGGGAAAAGGTCCATTTTTTTTTTAGAAAAAGAACCCCCCCCCCTTTTAAAATTGCTGGCTACGGGCCTGTATATTATCCCTAATGCCATAACATTTAATACAGGCAACAATTTGCTACATTGTTATTATTGCTAAAATGATTAGGGTAGTGGGGTTATATAATAAAAGCGGCCTTGTTTGGCCAAATCTCGAACAATCGATCGATATTCTTTCTTGCCTTCTTTCTTGTTATAAATGGGACTTTGAAAGTTTGTGGAACACTGGGATGGAGGAGATATAAAAGTAATTGCTTCTGCACAGTGTTAGCTTGGGTCCAATTCAACATAGCCTGCTGTGTGGTGCGTTCTGTCTTAATTTTGGGTCTTGTGGGAAATTCAGGTGATTTCAAATTTCGTCTTCTACAATGGCTAAATCGTTGCCGGATAGCATTATCCCTCTTTCTCGTGGAATTTACCTGTGTCTATAGTTCTTTAATTGTTCATTGTGCCTGCCTTCAGTTTCTTCTCCATCTTTTATCTCCACGTCGTGGCCACCTCGCACACACAACAAGCCTCTCCGGTGGTGATTGCTGTGGACTTGCCTCGGCAACTTCTATAGCAGCTAGGAGCTCTTCTTTCCTTTGATGAAGTCTACGTTTGAATCGTGATTTAGTCTTCGCATTTCTATTTCGTTTTTCACGGTTGTTCAAGGAAGCGGAAGGTACATAGTATTTTTGAACTCGTTTTCTTTCTCTTTCCAGATATGCGTCACCCTCATTTTTCTTTTTAGGCCTACGAGATCGATAATTTTTTTTTTCAATCTCAGCTTTTGTTTTCGCCATTTCCTGAAAAACAATTTGATTGTATATATAATGATAATGTTCCATCCGTATGTATTTGGCACTGCGCTCACTGCGCTCGTTGGCGATTATTTTTTCTTTGCATAGTCTTGTTTGACATTTATTTCTGTCTTTGACATTCATTTTTGTATTTGAATTAATTTTTTATTACGACAAAATCATTTACTTCGCCTACATCGTCACTGAGGATTTTATGGATTTATTTACACTTTATTTACACCTCATCTAATCTTTAGCTCGAGCAGACGTCAGAAAGAACCACCTGACATCTCAAACAGGAGCAAGTTTTTCTTTCGGAGCCAGTTTCGCGCACAAATAGCTTTTCACTGTAACGTATGTTCCGGTAACGTATGTTCCAGGCCACCTAATTTTAATTTTCATAACGCGTGCTTATATATATACTTGAAGTGATTCGATCATGTTAAATTAAATATGACGTAAGGGCGTTTTTATAAATATTTAAACTGTAACTAATGGTAACGTATGTTCCCTAGAAAAATTGACAAAATGTTTCATTTTGTTCAAGTACTTGGTGCAAAACCGCCTTCTTGGGAGTTCTACATGTTCTCTCACTTACCGATATCTCAATCGGTTGGATCTCAGAAGGCGAACACTAGTGCGATTTGCGTTTGCAAACGTAATCACTAGATTAGGGGAAGATGATGTTTCTATATGTTCTTTTCTTTGATTTGAAGTTTGAATTTTATCATATTATAATATGGGCTCTTTATTACGGTAAAAAGAAATTATCTTTCGACCCATTTGGTTTATTGTGCAACTTTTCCGGTTACTTCTCCAGGCTTTTCTAAAGGTTAATCCTAATCGTTTGGTAAGAAATAACCATTTAAAATTGGCATTGCGTCATGATGACTAATCTTATATGCCATTATTCAAAATCACAGTTCGCTTTTATCGAAGTGTACACCTCCCTGCTCCTATTAACTACGCTTTTCTTCGTGAAAAATCATTTGTAGGCGTATTATAATTATCATATTGGAAATTTGGGACCACCGTAGGCCATAGGGGAAACCCGGGTTAGTTGGACCACAGGATAAGTTTGCCCATGGTCAATTTATGAAAAGTACCTACGAGGTAAAAAAAAATTGATCACATAATCTAGCTAGTGACCATATCTACAGTGCCAAGCAAGGTTTTCGGTCGTCGTTAAAAAGATTTATTTGAGCGGAGGGTCGAAATAAAAGTTTCCTGCATCACAAAGTAACATTGTTGAAGAGACTTTAACATCTTTTTTTATTGCCTTGTGATAGTATTAAGGATGTGTGCAGGGCACCAAACTAAAGTTAAACGTTTAAACTTTCGCAGGAATGCCTAAACCAAGAAGTTGTAACTTCTTGCCTAAACATAGTTCATTCTAGCACCAAAAAAGGCTGCAATCCTTTAAAATAAAATGTGCACCTGGGACTTGTTGGACCACATGGCTCGGGGCAATATAAGTTGAACCCAGTATTTAGTTATGATTTGTCAACATAAATGCATTTCATATTGAAGGAAACGTAGAGAAAAGCAGTATATCTGACCTCATATGGCCTACAAAATAAGCAAAAACTCTCAAAACCAATTAAAATGCGTAAAAATACATTCAGGCGTTTACATGGACTGCTACATTATTTAAATACAGGGTGTCAAGGGGCAAGTTGGCCCACCTGACATCAGGTGTGTACTTTTGTCAGATTGTGAGCCACGTGGCATTACATCTTCAAACCAATCACTCTGCATCCGTGGCTATATACAGGTACTATAAGACCCTTGTCGCTCGTTCTAAAACCGGCTTTGGTGCCACCTGGGTCAAACGTGACAGAGAGTCCCCCAGCATATTTGACGAGTGGTTATACTTCTAAGTGTAAAGGATGAACCGATTCAATACTGAATTAAGTTTAATATGCCTTATTGCGATCACAGAAGTTATATTATCGGCCATTAAATTGTACCACTTTCAGCAAGGGTTTAATAGTGAAATTTGTTTATCTGATGATTTTTTAAGCTGATATAATACATGCCAATAAATCCCTGCAACGCAAACCCCTTTTCTCAAATAGTGAGATCTTCGATCGATTGTATCCCGAAACTGATGAACATAAGTCTTTGTGTTGAAATATAAAGGGGGAAGTAGCAAACGGAACTACTAAATTAGGGGAAGATTATATTTCCGTATGTTTATTTCGTTTGTTCGTTTTTGTTTAAATATATTTGGCGTTTGAATTCTAATTGTACTATTTTATACATTTCGAATCGATTGATTTTTTTGTGCACCTTTTCCTTTCACTTCTCCAAATTTTTCTAAAAGTGAATCCTGTACGTTTTGCAAGAATAAATTTATTAAATACCATTTAAAAATGACAGTGCATCGTGATGAGGTATCTGATATTTTACCATCTTACCGACCAATACCACAGGGGCGCATTTTTAGATTTTGTTAATAGATCGCCCCCCCCTCCCCTCCCCGTAATGGGGAATTTACACGGAAGACCCCTAAGGCAATGTCTTCGACAGTGATGCAGAAACATTTTAGTGGGAGTGTGTTACAAACACTATGATAAGACACCGTTCAAGATTCTTAAAAAATCCAAAATGACACATTTACTATAGCTCACTTTCTTTTACGCACATCTTACTTGTGGCGTCCTTACCAAGGACTCAGAGGTCGCGGGTGGAGAAAGGACGAAAGAGAACTAAAACTGGCTAGTTAGAATTAAATAATTAAATTTAAAATTGAATAAAACATCAATTTCAAGTGCATGGGCGGTCGAACAATGACTCGCAAGTAGGAGAGAATTGCTAAAAATGACATTTCAAATCATGAAATGTTTATTTTTGATCTAAAACATAAAATACAGCAACCCATTTTAATTATTGATACGACTTACTTAAATCTTACTTAGACAAAAGTTTACAGATTAAAAACATTCCACTCATTTGACAGTCTCTATTTAAAAAACCAATAAACCGTTCTAACTAGCTAATAATTTCACAAAGAACATTACAGTCTTGGACTCAGTTTGTCAGTCTTAAAATATGTTACAAGATCAGAAATCTTAATACATAGTTCTGATTGCATTGTTAATATACTCAACCATTGGCATGTTAGCTAAGAGATTAGTGGAGTAATTGAAAAAGGTCTTAGAATGTTATCACCAAGTCAATTCCATGCAGCCCACCTTTTTTCTGCAGCAAACCTTGTTAAGTCAACCTTGTGACACAAATATGTGACACTGTGACACAAGTTTATTTCAACAGAACTTGTGTTCAAACCTTTTAGCTAAAATAAATAAATTAATTAATTAACTAAAATTTAAAAAAGCAAATTTTCATTAGTTATTAGCCAAAATTTTTTCAGCCAGAATATTTTTAACCAAAACAAATCATTTGTACAAAGTTGATGAAAGACTGATCCTGGATACCCCAAAATCCTTTTATACTAGCCCTGTCAAGTCCATCATCAACAAAACTGTATCAAAGACCAAATACTAAAATAGCACTATTCATTAAAAGGTTTACTTCAGACCTTACTTACTCAAAATCTCAAGAAGAGAACACAAACAGCAAAGTCTGCAGATCAATGGTCATATTATTATAACTAGATCACACCCCCAAAGAGATAACAAACAGCAAAGACTGTAAATCAATATCTAAATTATTATAAATCTGAACACTCCACTGAATCCACCCTTATCAGTATAAGAAAACATTGTAAATTGCTATAACTACTGCAATGAATAATAATAATAATAAACATAAGGTGAAAGTTTTGTGAACCTATCAATTTACTCACAAATAAAAAGCTGATATTATCTCCACACCTGATAATGGAAAGTGCAATTATGCATTTAAAGTATGCACATTATTCATCCTTAACATTTAAAATGTAACACATTAAACCACAGAGAAAAGTTTCTTGAGTACTGGATTTTCCATTGAGTCAAATGTCAGTACCACCAGAGATAATGGTGCAGTTAAACATACAAGATACATGTGCATAATTATGCAATAACTAACAATAAATCTGAATTTGAATCATTTCAAAACATTTCACAACAGCATGTTCTATCAGAACATCAATCTGGAAGAATTCTTTTCCATTGAATGTAGAAACATACTAGTGCTTACTAGCATATTTCAATGCCTCATACTGTAATACAACATATCTTTTTCACTCATTTGGTAAGTAAACTTAGCTACATGTCACTACTTTAATCATATAAAATCCTTATTCATTGATAGTTCAAGGTTAATAAACTTCCAATAATAGATCAATCAAAAACAAAATATTAAAGTTAAAATGCCAATGAAAATAATAATAACAATAGCATAATACATACCTGACGACCTATATTCATACCTGAAACTGCTCAACATGGAAGACATTATATATATATTTACGAGGCCCTATAACACACACCAGATACCATTATATGCTGTCTATCCTGAAAGGTTATATTACTGTGAAACTCAGAGGCGTAACCAGGCATACGCACGGATGCACTGTGCGTACAATTTTTTGAGCCAACCATGATATTATTCTCCATAAATTCAGTGTATTTTTCAAGGAATATAATCGTACCTGGGAATTTTCAAAATCTGTGCGTACAATTTTAAATGGTCTGGTTACGCCCCTGAAACTTACACAAAAGAAACCAACAAAACTATAAAGTTGAGTCCTTTGTTTTCACAATCTCCAAACCACCAACAGAAAAAAAACAGACGTAATTAAGAAATCGCCTAACAAGCAATGACTCTAAACAAACTGATTGCTACACAAAAATATTTGTATGTGTTCTTTTAAACATGTTAATGAACATTAAAAGCTAAATTTTGGGGTCAGTCAGTAGTGCAAAAAATTCTTAAAATTAGGGTTGGTTGGCCCTATAACCCAACTTGTCAATTTTATTTGGCTTAATCAATTGCTATCTATTCAATTTTTTATTTTTTTTAAAGAAATTTGGGAGCAGAATAATTTTCATAAATTTATGTATATATAACATTTCAAGTTCTAAATTATTTAATTTACAAAATATTTACATTTTCACTGCATTCTGAGAAGAGAATTAACTGAAAGTTATGGAAGACTATACTAAACAATCTACACCACCTCATTTTTAGTTAAAGATGTTAACACGTATGTTACCATTCAATGTCCTTAAAATCATTTTAGGACCCACAGGAAAGAAAAATCATATTCAACACTCATTCCATTTCATCCCTTTAACCTCCAGAATTGTTCTAAAGTCAAACAATTGCAGCATTGTCTACTTTGTTTCCTGATGTACTGGTTACTAGTAGAGAAATCTAAAAGACATATGGTATGATTTTATATGGCACCAGTTCCTTGTACTCTTTCCAGTGCTCCCCATATTTAACACTGCATTTCAAGTCATCTCTGTATGTTCTGTGAACCAACAGCATCAGCAACCAGATGAAGTAGGTGTAAGCCATAATGTTTTGAAACATACTAGGCAAACACCAGCAGAAAGCATGGAGAAGCTCAGGCAGGTAGTGGAAGTGACGAGAGACACCCCAGAATCCTGAGGCTAAGAGCAGGCTTTCCTTCACTTCCCCCGTTTTCAGGTGGTATTTAGCTTTGATCATCTGTGGTGGTTTTCCCCATAGCAGGCAATCTCCATTCTTGGCCCTCACATACTGTTTTTGCCAGTCAGCCCAGTAATTCAGGACAAGGGCCAGGCTGCCAACAGTAAAAATAGCAATACTGAGGCCAAATCCAAGCCTGACAGGATGACTGACAAGGTAGAAGGTAGTGATGGCATACAAACCAGGAATGAAAACAAGACAACCCCAGCATATATAGTACCCTGCCCTGTCCATCATAATGTCCAAAGTACCCATGTAGCCAGATTCCCACCAGAAGAACTTAGTCATATACATCATCTGTAAGGTAGCACTGACAAACATGCTGTCTACAAAGCCATACAATTCGTAGCTTTTCATGGCATGAATACATATGAGGAGGGGCCATACTGTCATGCCAAACCGGCAGTTTGTAAAAACTTTTACATCAAACCCAAAAATCCTGGGATATAACTCTATACCACAAAAGTAATCAAAAATAAAATTCCCAGTAACCTCCCATTCTCCTGGAGAGGGAGCTACCCTCCCCTTAATGTACAAAAAGATACAAAAGACTCCACTGAATATGCTTAATGTTGCTAAAAATTCCTCAAATCTATCATAAACTATTGTAACAGAGAGAGAATACTGTTTCAAGAAATACTGTAGAATAAAAAGAGCAGAAACAGAAACAATATAACAATAGAAGCCATTGTCCTTGTACACTGGTCTATGTCCATTCGGTGTGAGGGGACCATAGACTGTCTTTCCTGGCAGAAAGCGCATCAAAACGAGCTGGAAACTGAAAAAGGACAGAAGAACCAACACACTGAACTTTGTGCAGATGTTCACTGAGCTCCAAATGTCAACCAGAACTCCAAGCACTCCTTTTGTAGTGAACATGCCTCCCAATGTTGAAAAACTTCCATCGCACTTCTTTGCCGTGTACCACAACAGCATAATGCCCTGAGAAGATCCCAGTATCAAGATGAAGGGCCAGACGGTGCAGTGGAAAAAATTGCTGAGCCAGGAGTTTTTCCAATGAGGAGACATCTTATCATCAGATATGGTCTTGCTGTCATGGTAACCATTTTGGGTCACACCATTTGAACTTATGGCTTCATTGTTGTTTACTTGGGCTTGTCTTCTTGTGATTACCATGGTGACTTCTCAGTATACTGTAAGGAAAAATACACTCAACTCAATGTAGAAGACGTACTAAGAAAAGTTAATTTAAAAATAATGTAACAATATTTTAAGAGTTAAAAAATGACATAACAGTTTCAACACAAAATACATTAATACCCACCCAGATTTGATCATATCAGAGATAAAAGATCACTTTAGACATGACCACCTTAATATCTTCTGTAGGAGCTACTGGCAGATAAACAAATCCTGCGTGAGAGGAAAAAAAAAAACAGACCAATGACCTTTCAAAATGCAGCTGCCCCTGCACTATAAAATTATTGTGCCATCCAGGTAGACCTCTTACTGAGGAAGTACAGGTGTGCATTGTAAGACTACACCATTAAAAGCTGGGTGTAATCACCTGAAACTTTTTGTGATTATTGTCTGCTGACATTTAAATTACTCAAGACTAGAGGCAATGGTGTTTAGTTTCCAGGTTTATCTCTTACACTGCATTATACAAACATTCATAACATGTGCCTTTTTCAAAAAATATTGGTGTCCATGTCAATCATTTGCGCATCACTACTTTTAGTACTTATTCACACTCACCTAGCCCGCATAACAAGGGTGATGGCACACGCATATGAAGTAAATTTATTATTTGCTCAATGAACAGAATCTCTGTGGCAAAGATAACATTTCCCTTAATGTATCTATCATTTGATTTTATATGTTTATACAAGTAAAATAAAAATGCTACTTATCTCCATTCACTATAAGAAAATTAATAACTAGACCTTTGTGTGACAAATGCACCATATGCAAGCAACTTAGATACAGCTGTATATCTAATAATTTTATTGAATATTTGATAACCAAAGTCATCACATAGCTGCATTCGTAAAAAAATAGGTAAATAAATAAAACATTGGTAATCAAATACTTCTGGTTAGAGTGCATACTGTAAGCACTTGCACTAATACAGAAGTACAGGTATTCGTACCGGTCTCAGTGTCGGCAGTGTCTACCTGTAGTTCTGCCTGCTGCTGGATGCACGCAGCCTCGCTGGCCGCAACAAAGTCAGAAATAATGGGAGACAGAATTTCAATACATGTCAGCACACTCGAGATCATTTTCTTCTGAAATGAATTTTGCAAATTGACAGACAAAACCTTTTTAATAGTAAAATAAACGTACCTTGCATAAGCCCAATATGCACCGGTACGCCCTTTCTCCTGGCCAGACAGCTTTTAATGTACTGCTACATCGTACGATGCCGCTTAGCTCAATAAAAATTGGTATTTTTCTTTCTATTTATATCGACCGACACGTGGTGCGAGTGAAAATCTCCACCTGTATAAACTGTAAACATGACGTCAAAAAATCGGTTGGTTAGACGTTGGGCTGATTGACAGATCTATGTGATACGTAAAAACTGTCATTATTTGAATAATAATCTATTGATGAGTTTTTCGTTGCACTTTCTTTGCTTATTTATATTCAAACGCAATATATAAGGCCCAGTGATCCCAACAAGTCTCAACTGACGCATCGCCAGTGCGCAGTTACTCGTAACTTACCTTGTCTCAACAGATTGGCATTGTCACTGGTAATATTCGTACTTTTGTTTAGGAAGACTTGTCCATTTTTTTTCCGTAGCGAGCGAAACAAATTTAGTTACATTTTGACAGCATACAGAGTTTACATTGCCCTTAATTTTTTATTTTCATACATCACGTACTTTTGTCATACAGTACACTGTACCCTAATTAGTTTATGAAAGAACTTACCTACAACAAAGCTTTTTTTTTTTTTTTTTTTTACAAAAAGGATGCAAATATTTTCCTTGTCAAGTGAAGAAAAGGGCCGTCTCATAAAATAATGTGGTGTTCTGGAGGTACGAAAATATAGGAGTCTAAGAAAAATTTTAATACAGTCTTGTATGCATAGCTAAATAGACCAATTCTTTCAAAAGTTACCATTTTGGTACTTTAGGAAAAGATGAATGACATATTTATAGTACACATTCCATTAAAGAAATGTTTATTTCATTGACAACAACTTTCACTACTGATGATGTTGGATTAAAAAACATCACAAAACTGATGACCAAACAACAAATGACAATTAATCATAGAGTTACATATCTGTTTTATGAATCTATGATGCAATGTTTTATTAATTATCTGAGTAATATCAGGTCATTATTATTTATGTTATAACCATTTATTCATAAATATTCAATGTAATATACTAAAATGTTTCAGACAAACACTGCATCTAAGAATGAAATGTGTCAATTGAGACATGATCTTTCAGTTTCTGGATCCTTTAAAGAAATGTCAAATATTTTAATAAATGGTTCATGTGACATAAGTTTTTTAAAAAATCAGTCATTCAATTTTGTGCCCCTCCATCCTTTTTGTGTGTGTGTGGGGGGGGGGGGGGGGGGGTGTGGTGTGGGGGAGTGCAAGGGACTGGTTAGTTCTTTCGTTTCCTTTTTTTCTTTCTTCCTTTTAAACTGGCAGTTGGAATATGACCATATCCTGGTATTTCATCCAGATTACTACCTGGAAATCCAAAATCAAGTTTTTTTTCCACATCAATTTCATCACTTTTACACAATAACTCCAATTCATCTAAATTTTGTACTACTTCCTTTTTTCTCTTTTTGCATTTCTTTTTCCTTTTCTTCAGCTCTTTTTCCTCTTCGTTGTTTGACTTAGTGCAATATTCATTTACAATGTCTATTTCTAATTTCACTTCAAGATTATCATCGGGGAAACTTTCAGGTTTGTCAGGATTAACTTCAACTGAGGTACTCCATTTCTCTACCCCCCTCACTCGGTTTTTGTCTCTCTTCTTGGGAAGCTTATCCTGTTCCAATTCGTCATCTGCCATTTTTGCTTTCTTTTTCTTTTTGCTTTTCTTTCTCTTCAAACTCTTTTCAACTATGTCAGTTTCAGCCAGCAAAGGTTGGCCATTTCCTTCTTGTGAATTAATTTTTACATCTTCTTTTATATTTGGCTGATTCAAACCAAATCCAGGGCAATTAACAGATTCTTCTACCTGACTAAATCCAAATCCAGGGTTCTTTAAACCATCTTGTGATTCATCTAAATCTTTATGTCCTTGTCTGTATTTTGCAACTTCAGCCATCTTCTGAGCAAAGTAATCCTGCACATTTTTACTGCTAGTGTATGTAATAATTCCATGTTTTGCTTCATTGCTGGCTGGATCAGAGTTGGTGCTCTCTGCATCAGAATTTACCTGAAAGTTTCCATGCATACTTATCATCCAGGAAAATATTGTGTTATAAGGACTGAAACTTCAGTTATCAAAAAATTAATTAAAAAATAAAATAAAATAAATAAACCAAAAAGTAAAAAATACCTTATGATTGAAAAAATATTGGAATTTTCACACTGGTTTTCAAGTAAAATTTCAGTGATTTTTAATGACCTTCTCAAGAATCTTTATTTTCTATAAAAACTATTTTGTTTTCCCAAGTATTTCCAGTAAAGAACATTGATTTACATATAATAAACCCAAAATATTACACATGCACTTACTTCAGACCTGTTCTGCGGAGTGACTGGTGCAGACTTGCTTTTCTTTTTCCCAAAAATACTATCCAAGTCCTCTGTTTTAGCTAATGACAGGTCTTTGCCTTTTGTAAAGCGGTGGTAGCTGCATTGAAGTTGTGAAATGGTTACAAATAACAGTGTTGACAAATGTAACATGCACAAACAATTTGAATTTTCTTCAATTAATTTTTTTGTCTAAATAGGGTATTTATCAAGCAAATAAAGTAATAATTACTATTCTATTGGTCTCTCGTTTGGGTACAATCTTACAAGTACTAACTGCGGCACGGGATGTCCAACTTTGACCATGTTCACATCAGATAAAGCATGAACTCATTGGCAATATTTCTTACAACAATATGAGGTGTTGTGGTGTCTAATTAAAACTGATTCACTATTTTAAACTTCCATTGGGAATAGTTAACATATGAAAATAATTTTTTGCTATCTTTCTCCAGTTATCTCCTTACACCATTTGAATTTGAAGCCAGGACAGAAACTGTTTAAGTTCTACTGAAAGTCCATTGAAATTATTTTGAGGAATTAGTTTAAATGTTAATGCATGGCTGAAGTTATTTTCACTTATATCAAAGCTATCACAGCTGAGACATAATTAACCTTTGTTCAGACTTTGTGATTTTAATGATCATGTGACTAAGATTATTAAAGCCTAGGTCCCAACTACGTTTTGGACGCACAGTTTTTTAGGTTCCTTGCGTCTGGCTAGGCTAGATCGCAGGGAAGGAATCAAGTAATTGGTGATTGCAACGAGTTGATCATATCATTAAGTTTCTACATGCTGTTCGCGTCCTCCAAAAGTCGCACGATTACGTGCTCCTTACAAAACAACTCCTGTGTTTTCCCCATTATTTTGGTTGTAGACCACACATAGTAGCCCGTACGTTCGGTTGGGACCTAGGCTTAAGCCTCTATTGTATCATCATCAGATTTAGGAATATACTATAATATAATAAAATAAAAAAACTCACTGTACTCTGGCTTTTGATGATTTAGACTTTTCAGCAAGGCTTTTAGCACTGCTCGAGTCATTGTCATTAGTCGTTGCAACCCCATGGCTTTGATTGAGGTTGTCCAATAAAGCGGCAAAATCATCCTGATGAGCTATCCAATTGTCTGCATGCTTTTTAGTGCAACCAACACCTGGTGTATAAAGGCATATTGAAATTATTTTAAGTTTAAATTGTGAGAAAAAACTGTTATGGTGTAACATAAAATGTTTGAATAGAAATATTTAAAAACATATGCTTAAATTATGTGCTCACATGTATCATAATTATTACAGTAAAAAGTTTGAAATATACCTTTATTATCCGACTTCAGGTTGACTTTCACATGCTCTGTTATCCCACTCTCATTAGCTCCTAAACCTTTCCCTTTTTGCCAGCCCATTTTCTCTAACATTTTCTGTCCAAATTTGCTTTCATCTGCAATTTATTGATAAATAAATCAAATACCAATGCAACACAACATTTAATAATTGAGTTATTTATGGTTGCTATTTAATTTTATGATATTTATCTTTTTTTACTCATGCTATTTTCAAACAAATGATCATACTTTATGCTTTATTTCACAGCTGTGCATCTAATAATTTCATAGAATGGTTGAGACATTAACCAAAGTCATCACATAACTGCATTCGTAAAAAAAAAAAATAAATAAATAAATAAATAAATAACATTGGTAATCAAATACTTCCACAGTTTCTAGGATTTGCAGTAGATTTGCAGGATATGTATATAGAAAACAGAACAGGTCCAAACGCTGATGGTACACCTTTTAGAATACCATGGCATGAGTCATAAAATTGTCATTGGGGTCATTCAGTATGAAAAGATTCGAGTGCTAACTGGTTCATGACTTAAATATGGCCGACCTACATGAAAGGAAGACCGCTTAATACTGTTATGGTCACTTTGCCTCTCACATGCCTCTCCACACAGTGTCCCTGCAGAGGCACCTTAATTAAATCTCGACTCCATTCAACCAGATGCATGAGGAGGAGTGTGAGAGGCAGAGAGACCATTACAGGATTAAGCGGTCTTCCTTTCATGTAGGGTCCGCCATATTTGAGTCTTGGACCATTTGATACTCAGATCTTCTATTCTGAATGGTCCCACTGATGACATTAAATTTGTACTTTCGTGCTATAAACTAATGTAAAATTAATACTTCTCTTGACTAGTGTTAGAGAAGTTTGATACAGTTTTTGCAATACAATAGTCTAACGTGGTCATCTAAAGTCGTTATAATATATGTAGTTTTTGGATTCATTAACCGATCAAAGTGACAGTCGATGGTGTTAACTGCAGAATACGACAAAAAGTCCACGTGGGTTTAGACCAAAATATAATCACCACAACACCACACATGTGGAAAGTAAGATTTAATAAAATCAATTTGCTAGAAAAACCACAGTTAACCAAACTTGGTAATCAAATTATATCTATTACCGTTGCTCCATTGTAAGCCCCTCGGGTCAACAGAGTATTTCTGTTTTCGACGGGGCTCTGCCAGCATCGCCATGTTGGCCTCCTTTCAGTAATGTGACCTCTGATCTGCAGAAAATCTGCGCAGGTCACGTTTATCCAATCAGCACGAACAAAACCGGGTCATCCAATCAAAGAGCCCCTGGATTTAAAAGGCAAAGAATACTGGCAAATTTGAATCGGGATTTCAGAAGTAACAGAGGGTTTGGATGTCCAGTTTTATTTCTTATTTAATAATTTGATATCTTTGTTAGAAGAAAGAAACTTATGCAACGAGGGATTTGTCAGACTATTTTACCCTTTATTTTTTACAAGTTTGTAAGTCGAAATATTTCATCAACATGAGCAAAAAGGAAGACTTGAGAGTGAAAGAAGTTCCTGATGTGGTGGTGGATCCTACTTCAAGAAGGCGATACATGAAAGGAAGATTTTTGGGCAAGGTATATAAAAAACGAGCAAAAAAAGAAATAGAACTTTCATTTTACATGAAGACTGCATTAAGTTAGGTTTATTCATTCAAATATACATATAATTCAAAACAATCCGTTATAAGTTATTGTTTGAATTTTGATTTCAAATTTTTGTAACGAAAATTGTTTTAGAATTTTACATCAAACTAATGATTCAGAACATCTTGATACAGTAGTCGAGGCTTGTACATGTGTGGAAAAGCGTACCAATAAAACAACTGTTCATTATTCCCCTGCAAAGATGGTGATATATTCAAAATCAGACAGCTGTTTACACACTTTGATTCTATGGTATTTGGTAAGCTAGATCAGACTTAACTACACTCCCTCTATCTTGGTTTTTATATACTTTGATGCCCATCTATTGTCTAATTTCAAATCACAAGTGTAACTCCACATTAAACACTACAAAACTGACCCTTGTTACAAACTCTGAAATCATAATTATCCTAGCTGTTAAATCAATGCCCCTAAGGCACACCCAACTATAGGCAAAAAATAAATAAACGCGAGTGTGCTGATTTCTGAAACAGAACCATGATTAATTGGTTAAACTTCATTGCACACATAGTAAAAAAATAAGTAAAAACCTGAAAATTTAGTCAGTCTTGAAAATGTTGTTGGGAGAGGAATTTCTGCTAACATAATTTTTATGATTTGAAAATGGGCCTCTCGATAATTTTGGAAAGTTCATCACCTAATATGGTCATGTCAGATTCACGCTTTTAAAAATATTAATAAATCAGACATTAGCTTTTTCTGCAGAAAAAATGGAATTCCCCTTTTTTTTAAATTCAATTCTTATAGGTTACTGTGATTTGTCAAGGTTAGGTGTTGGTTCCATGATAAATGTTCAGAGCTTATGTCTGATTAATTTTAAAGTGACGAAATTACCAAGTTTTTACCATTTTGTGTCCCTCTTTTCAAATTTTCCAATAAATTCCTGCTAATGTTATTTCTCTTGTTTATTTTTTAAGGGTGGGTTTGCAAAATGCTATGAGCTCACAGACATGGAAACCAAAGCTGTTTATGCAGGAAAGGTGGTTTCAAAGGCACTTTTGGTCAAACAGCATCAAAAAGATAAGGTAATTTTGAATAAAAATTTGAGTATATTAAGATATGTAATAGAGAAGAATATTTTGCTGTGCAATATATACCCATACTATATTTTGACTTTTTGTCATTTAATCAGTTTGTTGATCAATAATAAGTGTGTTAATTCTCCGTATTATGATGTACCCCCACTTACATATATGTATATAAAAGACTAAATACACAGTCTTGTGACTTGTGTAACCTTACATGGAAAATTCTCCTTCTAGATGACCCAAGAAATCAACATTCATCGCAGTTTGAACAACAGACATGTTGTTGGGTTTCATGGCTTTTTTGAAGACAATGATAACGTGTATATCTTGCTTGAACTGTGCAGAAGACGAGTAAGTGGAAAAAGAACTTGCTGATATGTGCTTCAGTAAATGACGGGTTATTTTACCAATACCAACTTTTATATTGGTTAAAATTTTACACATCAAGTCACCCTTCAAACGTTTTTGAGAAAAATAGATTGTGATGTATGAGGTGTACATTTTTTATCATTTTTTCCTTAGTCTCTGATGGAGTTGCACAAAAGAAGAAGAGCAGTGACTGAACCAGAAGCTCGTTATTTTCTTAAGCAAATAACTGAGGCCTGTGTTTATCTACATCAGAATAAAGTTATCCATAGAGATTTGAAATTGGGTAACTTGTTCTTAAATGACGAAATGGAAGTGAAAATTGGTGATTTTGGACTGGCTACAAAATTGGACTATGATGGAGAAAGAAAAAGGTATAAAAATTTTCCAATCCAAAAGTGATCTTCCAAAATGTTACTAATATCAGTAAAATTTATGATTTTTAATTCATTATTTTGTTTAATATAATTGGTATTCATGAATAAGGACAACTTTTAATTTGTATTACATATTTTTTTCTTATAAGGAGTAAACTTGGCAGTCTTGGAGCTCTTTCATTAAGTTATGGTCATACAGAAGGTTTTGATAATGTTTACTCAGTATTGTGTTATGTTTGTTGGAAGGTATGAATGAGAACCTCGGGAACTTTGTTTATTATTTTAAAAATTATATTTTTTATTTATTTCATGTAGAACTCTTTGTGGAACCCCTAATTACATTGCTCCGGAAGTGCTAGGGAAGAAGGGACATAGCTATGAAGTAGATGCCTGGTCACTTGGGTGTATATTGTAAGTATCATTCATTGTGACTAAGAAATGCTTACTATTGTAATATGTTTATGAGAAGTTTTTTATGAGAATGAAGTTAACTTCTCTGTTTTCAACTTTTTAATGACAACATTGTTATTGTTCTCAGGTACACCCTCTTGATTGGAAAACCCCCCTTTGAGACCAGTAGTCTCAAAGATACCTACATGAAAATCAAGAAAAATGAATACCACATGCCCTCATCCCGCTGCTCTCCTCAGGCCAAGAGCCTTGTGCAGAAGCTGCTTCGTAATGACCCCACAGACAGACCCAGCATGGAGATCATCCTACAGGATGATTTCTTTACCACAGGTACTTGTCATATGTAGAAAAAGAAATCCTCTTTAGAATGGCCCCATTTTTTGCATATATTGTTATAAAATTCAATTTCCATCTAAAGACATTAGTTGAAAGATGCCTAAACTGCTGCGCTGAATTGAAGGTTTTCTACAATATAGCAACTGGTTTTGTTATTGATCAAAATTTTTTATGTGTCTATTAATTCTTCATCGTTTCCCCCCTTTTTAAATGTTTATTTTTTGTTGCAATGGAAAATAAGCTCTTTGCCTGGTGACAAATATTTGTTTCTGCACCCGTTAGGATTTCTTCCTTCCCGCCTCCCAACCAGCTGTTTGACTATGGCACCAAGGTTTGACCAGCTGTCTAAGTTGGATGCCAGAAAACCTCTGGTAGAGCTTAATGGAACTGGTAAGTGAAGAAAAGTGAAATTTAAGGCATGCTATTTTAGAAGATTGGAGTATACAAAGTTGTTTATAAATCATGTGGAGTATCACTTATAGTTTCAACTTTGTTTACTGCTTCATCAAGTGTCATAATAGTTCTTAGTAGATGTATACTTCATTATTTTACTCCATTTTTTTCTATTTCATAGAAGGATCTAACACACGCCAGCTAGTCAAGAAAGAATCAGAAGGAGCTTCCAGGCCAGAGAGTTCTGACAAAAGTACAGGTACCTATTTTTCCATGTTTAAAGTGAATGTTTGATAAGTGCCGTCCAGGCATTCCTTCATATTTCACAAAAAAGCTAAACAAAACTAGAAAAGCACTTAGAGAATGCAGACCTCTGGTAAGACAGCTCAGTCCTCATTATTTATTGGTTAAATAATCTGAGCCCATTTTTGACCTATCCTAAAAAAAATTCACCAAGATGTGCCCATCACTATTGTGCAATGTTGCAAACAGACAAAACCAAACACGTAATTCCCTTGGCTGAGGTGATAATCTAGGAATTGTATATTTCTTTTCATCGCAATTTTATATATTTCAGAGCCAAGCGATTGTTACCTGTCAGACCTTTTCACACAGATTTCTGCTGTTCTGGCTGCGAACCCTGCTGATAAGGTTGTAATACAGGAAGGTAGGTAGCACTTAGCTATTCATAGTTAGAAACATTGTTTTCGCTATTGATCTAGTTTAAATGTACTCAGTTGCTTGGACACCTTAATGTCTCTAAAATGAAATGCTATTTATATATTTTTCACAATTAGCATTCTTTTAACCCCGTCTATATGAATGGGTGTGTGTGTCCAATTGACACCACACACAATGTTTTATTTATATTATTTCTATTTCCATATATTTGTTAATTCCAGAAGAAGCTGAAGACCCAGCTTGTGTGCCTATCTACTGGGTTAGCAAGTGGGTAGACTACTCTGACAAGTATGGCTTGGGCTACCAGCTTGTTGACAACAGTGTTGGCGTGCTATTCAATGACAGCACCAGGTTAATTCTCACTTCAAATGGAGAGTAAGTAGATTTGTTTTGTTAGAGCAGTGTGCCTGCTCTCTTCTCCTTGATATTAGTAATGCCATAGAGAAGCGGGTGGTGCAGCGGGGGAATACTTAATTGAAGTGCCAATACAATGGCATCTTTTACAAAATTGGTTAAGAGAAAACAGCAACTTCGTCAATGAAGAAATGGAGTTGGTGAAATTTACCCTGGATCATTGAATAATTTCCTTAAAAAGGTGACAGATTGCTGCAGTAAATTGAAAATAAAATTATTAAAGAAAGTATAGTACATGCAGACAAATAATTGGGTTATTGGGGAGTTGAGAAAGATTCCCAAGGGATTAAACCTATTCTAATGACTCTGTTTAAGGAGATATTCTGACTCCCAAGATGGTCTGATGTAGGGTGGATTTTGTTACCGTTTTATTAAGCCTAAGGCACAGAGCATGTCTTATGAACATTGTCCTATTGAAAATGGCCTGGCAACTGTGATAAGCTCTTTTACCCCTGCGTATGGGTCTCATTCCCCCCTATTATTTCCAACTGATTATATTTATTATTTATCTTATGTAATATTACAGGAATATCCAGTATATTGAGCGTGATGGCACAGAGCATTTCCACACTCTCAGGGTGTTCCCTGAAACTCTAACCAAGAAGGTGACCTTGCTTAAATATTTCAGAAACTACATGAGTGAACATCTACTGAAGGTCAGTACATCTTGTTGCACATCAGATATCATTAGCACTCAATTATCACTCAGTTCCATTACCTCCTATAATCAAAATGAAAACTTGCATCTTTGCAGGGCAAATTGCAGTTATATAACCGAGTTATGATGTATATTGCATAGATGACTTTGTCAATTTTATTAAAGTGTTTAGAATATATTCATTCATTTAAGCAATTTGAAAGGGCTTTCATTGTATTGTCTGTTTCATTGTTAATCTTTTATGGCTGTTTAAAATGCAATTGTTGTATACAACAGATTTTCAAGCATTTATTTTGATATTGCTTCTACAATTTTACTGCCATAATGAAATATGTAAATTGGTTTATTTCAGGCTGGTGCTAATATTATCCCACGTGAAGGGGATGAGATGGTGAGACTTCCTTTCTTGAGAACATGGTTTAGAACCCGCAGTGCCATAGTATTGCATCTCAGCAATGGCACTTTGCAGGTAAGTCTTTAAATTTGAGTTTTTTTTTTTTTTTTTTTTTTTTTTTTGGGGGGGT